ATCTGGAACAAAGAATTTTTGTTCTACATAATTAGTATGAGATGTGTAAAATCTTAAATATCTACAGTAAATATATTAAGACCTTAACAGCAGCATAATATTTTAACTTATTGTATGTAATATTTTATTTTTCAGAATAAGATCTTTTAAATATGCTAATGTAAAAATGTTGCACAAGGTCCCTACTGCACTATCTTTAGCAACTAATGCATATAAGTAATGTAATTAAATAATTTTAAATCTTTCTCTGGTAGATATTATGTATAGTTAAGACTTTAACATTCTGATTGTCAAAGGATACATCTATTATTTTTTTGGATTGCTTCATCATTGGTTCTCATAACAGATGTTCTCTCAACTTTGAATATCCTCGTCATTTCAACACATTTCAGCTGCTGTAGCCTCCAGCCTTCTTCAGGTATCATGTCATATTTTGTAATCTTCTGGGAATTTCTATCTGCATATTTCTGCATCCTATATTCAATCTCATTTCATTGTCCATATGCCATGTGGTATAATGGATAATGGCTTGGTATGGTATAAATCCATCCCTACTCCCACCTTTTATGAGTTGAATTGCAGGACAGATTGGGTCCTATAGTCTTGTTTGGCAACCAGACTATCCCAGAAAGTTTTTCTGCATAGTCAGTCATGAATCAAAAGTGACATGATCGCCCAAGCATGTATCACATATGACACTTAACTGACTGATTGATGCCACTTTTGCATTTTCTACTGAACTTGAGTATATAAGCTATTGTTCTGTAGAACAATCTAGTGGTGAAATTTTTAGACCTTTAAGTTTAATATTAAAGATTTATGATGTTCAATTATATAATTGAAGATTATTACAGCCTAGCATGTGTGCTGATATCACTCAGTCAGTGTATAATAATATGTCCTCATCTCTGAAATTCAGACAGATTTTTGAGGTGAGATATGTATTTTCACAATTACAAATATTTTAAGTAATTTTTTTAAATTTATTTTTATTGTGTTTTGTCACAGTGTATTTTATTTAGTCAATCTTGGCTCAAAAAGTAGAAGTTTCTTCCTAGTCAGTTGTGTTCTCTTTGCATAAATGCCCTTTGGAGGGACATGAATTTATTTCTTTCCCTTCGGCCTTGGATGGAATAACAGGTTCTAGCCTTGGTTGGCAGCTAGTTTTGGGGAAAGAAAACTCTGAATTCAAAACTATGAACATAGCAACAAGAAACCACTTCTCTATCTTTTCCAAGAAGTCATATCATATATTAGGTATTTGTTAATCTTAGGAAACTATGGTGTTTTACTCTGAATGATGCTTCAGACACAGCATCTATTATGGTTTGAGAAACCTATTCAAGAATGACAGTCTCTTCCACTTTGTACAGACAAAGTTTGATGATGATGGTCTTTCTTTCATACTTTGGGTTTTCCTTCTTTACCTTTGACTTTTGGGCAAATATCACTTTGAACTTTCTACACTGCCTACTTCCAGGATGATCATTCAATGGCTATAGATTCGCATTTGTCTGGGTTGATACCTAGCATCTTTAGGCTCCTTTTACAGACATCTTTTTAGTATATTTGGGGAGTTATTTGGTTGTTGTCCATTCCTCATAGAAATTTACAGATTATAGAGAAAAGGAATTTGTAAGGAGCTGCAGTGGCACATTACGTGAAGGAACATGGTATTGAAAAAAATAAACTGCAGGGAAATCAGAATAAAGAAAATGATTTGGATAAAACACAAACTTGTAAAGATGAATTTCCAAAGTTGTCATGGTTAGGCATTACCAAAACTGTCCTGGTTAGGCATTGCCAAAGCTGCTAGGCACATTTCTTATCTATGGTCTTCTGTCATTGCCCTTCTGCTACAGTCCCTTTCTTTCAATTCAGATCCTTGTTGTATTCTACTTATTTTCTGTAACTAATTTACGTAGGTACATTAAGAAATCTGCAACATAAGCAGGAATAAAGCAACATAAGCAGGAATAAAACATAATAAATATCATTTTTCAACATAACTTCTGTTTTTGTTAATGCACTTGATTCAGAGATGAATATTAATCACAGAGATTGAACATTATACAATTAAATTTTCAGATCAAAATTCAGCTACTTGTCAGGCTATGAACTTATTGATCCACCTCCATGGAAATAGAAGCACTCTGAAATAATTGCTTAAGGGATTGTCCATGAAAGAGGAGTTCCTTAGAGATTGGAATCAAATTCAAGTCCTGTCTGAAGTTACTTCTTTATTCTGATTTTCCTGTAATTCAATGACCAAAGAATTGACTGGCTGAAATATTTTATTGTATAATGTGTCATTGCTTATAACTTTTTACTGTATAGTTATCTCCCTTGCAGATGGCATTGTCTTTGTCATGACAATGGCAAACTGTTCTAAAATATTTACAAATGACTTTGTGAAAAAGAAGAGTACAATAATAATAGTTGGAAAAATATATATTTAAAGATGCACATATGAAAAAATAATAATAGTAAGAATATAATAAAATATCAATTCATGCATGTCATTATTTTTTCCTACACGATTATACTCACATTATGATAAAAGAAATCCAAAAATAAAGAAAGAATAGTCAAAACACTTTTAATTAGGAAATAAGAATTTTATAATTATATGGATAAGTCATTCAGGATTTTTGTAAATGACAGTCTCACAAAGTATTTGAATTCTAATTCTATTATTGAATCAGGCACTACACCTGTGACATACTGGAAATAATTATTATGAATAGTCAATAACACTAACTTCAATTTCATGTTTTATATGATACACCTGTTACAAAACAACTGTGACTTGTTATAATATTGCCAACATTTAAGTACAGTTAATGTTGGAGCATTATAACAATGGATTCCATTTTAAATTTATACACATACACATACAGATGCACACACACAAATGAAATAAAACCAGTAACATTTTTCTTTCAGTCAATTTTTGTTTTTCTGTACATAAATTTCATTTTCTGTTTTTGTCAACTTGTAACATTAAAACTTTTAAATAATACATTATTTTCTCTTGTTGCTAGAATGGGCAGTATTATCATTTTATATCTCCTAGTACATTTGTCCTATAAACAATATTTGGCAGATTCATGTGAGTCAGGATAAAAAAAAAAAACAGAATTCAAACAAACAATAAACAAATGCATTAACAAAACATGTTACAGAAAGCTAAAGAAAAAAAATTGAAGTTATGTTCACCCAATACAAGGCCCAATAGCCACCCAATGTAGAGTGTTACTGAGGTTGCTGAACAGATGTAAGAAGAGGTAGTTAGTGCAGTTTTTGAAGGTATATAGGATAAATAAAAGTTGACCCCAGACTTAAGAGGCTAAGATTGTAGTAATCAGGGAAACATCCTCTTGGGAAATCATTGGTGCTTAATGGCTCAACTCTGAATGACAGATTTCTGCTGGATTGTTGGTATTCATAGAAAGTTATTTGGAAGTATATTTGTTAAGCTGTTTGGTAGTTGCTTATTTGCTAGCCAATAAGATGATTTTAAAAAGAAAGTATCCAAATATTACACTGCATCCAATATCTTCTTCTAAGTGCAGTGTCCCTTCAGAACAGATCTGGTGCATACTAACCCTCTAACTGGGGGAGAAGCCTGATTGGGGGCCCCGGGCAATGCTTTGTAACCCTCTCTATCTTATCAAAATTTGCTTTTTTTTATACCTACATTTATATACATTACAAATTAAACTAAGCTCAACTGACAAATTTTTGCAGATTTTGGCATAATTCTTAGTTCTTTCTTTTTTTGTCCAAATCTGTGAATTTGTTTCACTCATGCTAAGCCTTGAAAAAAAAAATATAAACTTCACTATTTTTATCCATACTGTTGAATGTGTTAAAATTATTAAACATTTTTAACAAGAAAAATCTCAAGTTGATGTTAAAATTACCATAAAACATTGTTGATTTATTAAAGATGGAATAATCATTTATCATATGCCTCTAATTTGTATTTATATTGCATATGCTCCATTATTGAACATAATTAGTTTACAATAAAATTTGTATTTTATACAAATACTACCCTATGAAAATTGAGAAGTAGTAGAGTGGGGACCCTCCTGTAGCAAGAAACCCCTGGCTTCAGGATATAGGCAATCATGACTCTCTACAACTTCCTATCTTTTGTGGTTCTTAGCAGTTGTGCCCCCTTTGAGCACCTGGGACTTAAGCTTAACCCAGACTTCATGTGGAACTCATACATATAATTCATCGCTAAAGATGCTGGAAAAAGTGTTGGTTCCTTGTACTCCTACAGTAAGTGCCTGATTCTCCTGCTATCTTTTACCTCTAAGTGCCAGATCAGGCCAAGAATGGAGTACTGCTACTTTATATGAGCAGAGCTTGCCCAGGTATTACTTTACAGTCTCAATAGAATTCAAAAGTGTCTCCATGTCCTTGTGGGTGATTTTATCTCACTGTTTTATCATTATTTCCATGGAAAGTATTCAGGCAAACTACATTCTTTAGTTCTACCAATTCTAACTTTCACAGCTAAGATTTGCCATGCCATGCACATTGTAACAAACTATCCCCCTTCCCTTCATATTCCATTGGCAAGATGCAAGTTCCACTCAAGCTACTTCTTCCTATGAACTGCTGCTTTGTGGAACCAACTCTCAAGAGGATGCTTCCCTGATCACTACAGACTTAGCCTGTTCAAGTCAATGGTTAACTGTTTTGTTCTCCATGTATCCCTATAAACCATACCTCTTACTCTGTAAACATTTCCCTTGAGTGGCTCTAAAAGCCTTGTACAGAGTGAACATTATTGTAAAAAAAAAAAAAATTTCTTCTGCCACCAGTTTTCTTCTCATCTGTAATGAGATTGTTCAGCATTCACTGCCATATAAGAGGATGAATATCACATAGCAATTCAACATTCTTTTCTTTGTTTCTAATGAAATTTCTCCATTTCTCAGCACCTTGCTGAATCCATGATAGGGCAACCTGCACCTTCGACGATGTCACTGCTGTCACCGTTGGCAATTTACGGTGTCCGAAAAGCGGTTTGCTCGAAGAGATCGCATTTCAAGTTTTTCCTCTCTAGGGGATCCGCATGAAATAGAATGCTTCTTTCGCCAGTCCGATGTGTGTTCAGATCTCAGTGTCATATTTTCCATTCCCTGTTAAAACACTTCCCAGATATTTAAACTTCTGTACCTGTTGATGTTGACATCTCTAATTTGTAACTCCCATTTTGGGCTTTTTCTCTTGCTGATTGACCATACATTCTGTCTTCTTGCAGTTGATGGTTAGTCCTTTTCTCTCACTTTCAACTACTACAGTGTCTATTCCATGAATGAAAAGCTGACCACTAATTGAATTGTATAGACAGAAAGTTGAGATGTGTTATTGCAAAAACTACTTATGTAAAATATGCATCTTATAGGGTCTTAACGTTTTCATGGCTTTTCCATGACTTATAACATAAATATGTTCAACTGACAACATATTTTAAAAATACAGAAAGTAGATATATAGAAACTACATGATAGACCTGATATTAATATATATTTCTGAACAGTGAGTGACCTTTGAGTGCAATGAAAAAGAAAAGGGGTGATTTTGAAAGCTGTTTTTAAACATAGACAAGTTTTCCACACTTGGACAATTGGCATAACACAATGTTCCTAGTTCATTTGGCTTTGTTTCAGACTAAGCTAATGATTCAGTTGACGTGTGGAGTGAAGACAGAAATAAACACCAAATGACAAAAAATTGGAGTCAGAGGATTGCACATACTCCAGGTTAATAAAGTAATGCTTTGAAAATATATATTTAACATTTCACAACCAATGGGTCACATTCCTTCCAACAATAAAAAAAAATGCTTTGTGATCCCTTTGAAGAGTATTTAAGCAAAGTTTCCAGACAGAGAAACCAAGAAGGAGAGACAGCAACAGTTTAATGACACATCGGTTTAAAAGAAATTCCCTTACTCATACACCTGCCTTCCTCACCAAGCTATGTGACACTAATGTTTTCTCCCTTGCCTCTTCTTTCTCACACATGCATGTGAAGAAATCACATTTCTCTTCATCTTAACAAACAAGGATTGTAAGAACTTTAACACTCATACACATTAAGGAAAATTTAGTTGTAAATATTTTATATTTTTATATTTAAACAACTTTCTTGACTTTTTCTTTGTTATGGGTTAATTCAAATCTCCAACAGATGACAGTGACAATATTTCTTGGAAAGTGTTTTTAATCATTGTATGAACTTATGCGCTGTTGACGTTTATTGTAGCCCTTCACTACTCTGATCACGTAATCATAGTTGAAGCAATATTTTCGTCTAGACCTTGACCTTTTTTACATTGTGTTACCCTTCAATTTAATATAGTAAGTTTATTTGGATTTATAATCAATCTAATTTATCTTTAATTGGTTAATTATTACTAACTTAATCTAAATACTCTTTGTAAACATTTTTATACTTCGTAGTAACTCTGGATTTATTTTTTTTTAAATATTAAGTAGGTATGCAGGCCTGGTTAATGTTATTATACTCCCTTTTATATAGCCTGGTGACTTTTCACTGAAGTGTTTCCACTCAGGTCCCCACATTAAAAACCAACTTTGTGTCACAACCTGGCTCAGTGGGTGGGTTAAGCTAAATCCTGGAAGAGAGATGTAGAGAAATGCAGGACCCTGGCCATCAGTGCCAGGGCACTTGAATGGGTTATGTATTGAGTTACATATCCTTTTATTTTTGTCTGCCAAATGGATGCTAATTGGGCTTTACTGTCCAGTTTTACTTCTGGCATTCTTGGCTTTACTACTTTCAGCTACCACAGATCCTTACTGTCAGCAATTCTGACCTAAACTACTTCTGTCTACCACAGACTCTATCTTCTGGCATTCCTAGCCATTATTACTTCTGGCTACCACGGACCCAGCACTTCTGGCCTTTATTACTTCCAGCTTATGCATTGGTCCCCACTTCTGGCATCTCTATTTCAACCTAACTTACCTGGTTGATCGGCATTAATGGATCTACTTACAACAGCCCTATTACTTCCAGCTACGTACAGGTCCCTACTTCTGGCATCCTGATTTCAACTTAACTCATCTAGTTGATTGGCATTAATGGACTGCTTTCAACAGGCCTGAACTTCCAGCTACGCATAGGTCCCTACTTCCAGCATCCTGATTTCAACTTAACTCATCTAGTTGATTGGCATTAATGGACTGCTTTCAACAGCCCTGAACTTCCAGCTACGCATAGGTCCCTACTTCCAGCATCCTGATTTCAACTTAACTCATCTAGTTGATTGGCATTAATGGACTGCTTTCAACAGCCCTGAACTTCCAGCTACGCATAGGTCCCTACTTCCAGCATCCTGATTTCAACTTAACTCATCTAGTTGATTGGCATTAATGGACTGCTTTCAACAGGCCTGAACTTCCAGCTACGCATAGGTCCCTACTTCCAGCATCCTGATTTCAACTTAACTCATCTAGTTGATTGGCATTAATGGACTGCTTTCAACAGGCCTGAACTTCCAGCTACGCATAGGTCCCTACTTCCAGCATCCTTCTCATCTACATTAATGGACTGCTTTCTGAACTTCCAGCTACGCAGGTCCCTACTTCCAGCATCCTGATTTCAACTTAACTCATCTAGTTGATTGGCATTAATGGACTGCTTTCAACAGGCCTCTTCCAGCTACGCATAGGTCCCTACTTCCATCCTTTTCAACTTAACTCATCTAGTTGATTGGCATTAATGGACTGCTTTCAACAGCCCTGAACTTCCAGCTTCGCATAGGTCCCTACTTCCAGCATCCTGATTTCAACTTAACTCATCTAGTTGATTGGCATTAATGGACTGCTTTCAACAGCCCTGAACTTCCAGCTACACATAGGTCCCTACTTATGGCTTTTCTGACAACCTAACTAACCTGGTTTAGGATATTGCTGCATGTATATTGTTCAGATTTCAAACAACCTATTCCGTACACTTCGGTTAAATACTACGGAAGGTTCATCATTGGACTTAACCAGCAAACTACCAGGACATTAATGCTCACACTCTCTGGGTCCTGTCACTGGATCTAACTAATGCCTTTATCCACTGTGCCATGTGTCCTTGAGGACAATACCTGGTTAAGGCGGTGGAGAACTTGGAGAGGGGAATTAGCAGGAGATAACTGATAACTAACATCCATTAAACATGGCCCGTTGGACTAGAACAATCTACCTCAGTGAGCGAAATAAAGGGTTCAGTTCGACATTCCAACCACCTGAAGAAGGCTGGAGCGTACAACAGCCGAAATATTGTGATAAATATGGCAACAAAGATGAGGACAATAGTCCGAATAATGTAAATAGTGTACTATTCCATACACTTTGGTTAAATACTATGGAGGGTTCTTCATTGGACTTAATCACCAACTATTCAACACTTTCACTGGACATCTGAACTGAACTTTCAAACTGTGGTTTATTATGCCAACTTAAATTACCGGAACTATACTTTTAACACTTAGTCACAGATTTATTATCTAGGTTTTTCTAACTGGTCAGTATTCCTCAATTTACTTAATTCTACCTCTATTACTTAATTCATTGTTTGTTCATGTTCCTTTAATCAAAACACTATTTTTGTATATGATGTAAATAAATTTTGTATTAATTTTTACTTTGTCGTTTTGTTGTCCTCTTGTTGACCTGTCAGAGTTAACATTTTTTCTTTCTAAAATGTTAGTGAGCTTCTTGTGACTCATACTTATTTAGGCACACAGGCTATATTATATTGCACCCGCTCCAAGGGGTCCACTACACGTTCATCAATGATTCAAAATTGAAAAGCAATTCCAGAAAAAGGTGTTTAGAATATTTTACTTTTCTTTTAATCTGGTTCTATTTGCTTTCTACCCACTAAAAAGTTACAAAAATTTATATGTTAGCTTTAAATTGCATTTGCAATAAAAATACAACAAACACATCTTACTTAGAGCTTATTTTGTATACATTTTACAGTTCACAAAATACTACCCTATTTCAAATGGGAAGTACTTATTCGTTAAAAGATAATTTACTTACAAAAAAAAACATTATTCGATTTTTCATTTGTATAACATTAACAATCTAAATGTCTCCAGGTGATTTATTTCCTGTCCCTACCTTGTTAGTTAACCCTTAGCCTTAACTGTGTCGTACTTCTGCTTCTTTTAAGCAATAAGCGGGTACTTAAATTGAGCTCGACTGTCCAAACGTTATCTTTCAATTACAAACTTCTCATTCAATAGCTACAATTTAGCTATAAAAACTTGTCAGGCTGGCAAACTTAACTGTCGTCAAAAAAAAAAAGAAAAAATAAAAAATAAAAAAAGAAAGGAAAAAAGATGGATGTTCTACTAATTTCAATACTCCCTCCGTTTAAAACGCCGAAAATTGTTATTGCTCTTTCATTTGCAGCAGCATCTTCGTGAAACAAATATAAATAAGAATACATTCTTTTATTGTGTATCTTTTGTTTTAAAACTAAAAATTGTATTATATATTAAAAAAAACAACAACACACACACACACGTATAGATAGTATGTGTATGTGCGTGAGAGAGAAAGCGAGTGAGAATATGAAACTAAAAACACTCCGGGAGTAAATCCATTAGTCAGAAGTGCCATTGACCGATACAGGTGTGACAAGAGTTTTACCTGGCTTTTTATGAACGGTTCAGGAAGGATACAATGTTGTAGTGATTTTTTTGTCTGCCGACTTTTATTGCCGGCCTCCCTTGTTTAGAAAGGGTCTCGGTAAGTTTAAGAATCCCTATTATCTTCAGATAATCCAGAAATTCTTGAGAAACTAAAATCATGTTTTTAGATTTAAAAACTAACAGGAAATGTTTTTACTTTTTAAAAACTTTTCTTCTTGCGAGAGTTGTTTTTACTGAGATTAACCGTAACGAAATAAAATTTACAAAGGACAGGAAATTGTGGATAGCCATGATCGCCAACGTCCTGAAGGGACACAGCACAGAAGAAGAAGACCGTAAAAAAATCAAAGGCCGGGTTTTAATGTTAGTTTAACTGCACATCGTTACACGTTATTTCCTAAATCTCGGAATGACATGACATTATTGTCTTGTGTATCATTGTCGTCATCTCAACCTCAAGGGTTTTTACTTTTTAATCTTTTTTTAAAATTTTTTGCATGTTGATTTTTTATTTGAATCTCTTGATTGCACAAGTCTTCTTTTCCTAGAGTTGATACTGAAAAGAATAAAATCAGTTTCACTTGTTTTAAAATAGAATATTCAAATTTCTGTATCCTTAAAAATTAAACTTTTTTAAAATGATGGCAATGTTTTTAAATAGTTTTTGAAGCCTTATTTCATCATAGCTATTTTTTTGAGTCGACAAGAGTTTTTTTTACTTTCATTTTAAATTTTTGGTATTTGCTTGTTTTTAATTTTCTCCTGTATGACCGGACAATCTTTTTGTTACTTGTAGGTTGTCGAAAGAAGAGAAAGTATATGAATTTTTAAAGGCAAAAAACTGACAGGTCTTTTTGGCTAATTAAGTCATTAACGAGTTAAAAATAAATGCACTTTTATAATAAAAGACTAAGAGTAAAGATTTGCAAGGTGATTGCATTGCAAGCGTCATTCATTTATCTTTTTATTTTCTCTGAAAAAGTTTTCAAATGTAATAATCGCAATAATTAGAAAATATGACCACTTTTTATTTTTTCTTTCAACAAGTCGGTAAGAGTGAAACATCCGTGTTTGTTTTTATGTGGCCCCTAACACTTGATAAATAAGAGTTTTTTACGCAATTATTTATTAGCTTATGGAGAGAGAAAATGTTTTTGTTTATTCAATTTTTTGTTATTTTTGTTTTTATACAATTATAAAAAAATGCATTCTGAGAAGGCTCTATATATTTCCTCTACAACAGATCATAGCTTCGTTTTATTTATAAAAGTAAAACATCAGTTATGACAAAGTTAGAAAGAAAAGAAGGTAATGCTATAGCATCGCACATGATTAGTAAATCTTGTTTTTAATTAGAACGAATTGACTTCAAAACAAAAGTAGAAAAACGATATAATTTGATTATGATTTGATTTCAACAGTTACTCGTCAACTACACGAAATAACAGGAAATAATCTTAGAATTTAAAGTTGTTTGATAGAGAGGATATTTATTTTTAGACACTTCTCCACAAGATCAGAAATGTGACATAAGTTCAAGTTTAGTGTGAAACCCGTCTGGGTTAGTTTTTTTGTTTGATTAAATTTCTCAGGCATAAGGGTACTCTAAGTGCAGTTGGGAGGTGCCGTCTAGGAGTACAGCTCCTTGGAAATTGATATTTAATTTTTTGAACATCTTGACCAAAAAGATTGGGATGTTCATTGACTTTTCAATTTTAAAATCTCTTGCTATAATTTAAATTCTTCTTTGAATTTTAAAATTTAGGTTCGACTTACTGAAATGGTGTGAATGATGATTTTTGTAGAGAAAGTAATTTTATTATAAAAGTACTGTTTCTCCAAAAACAGTAGCTTTATTTGCAAAATTTGCTGTTTTATAAAAATTCATCAAAGCAGAATTGTTTCACTTTAACCAGATTTATTTTTATGGTATATGCAAACATTTAAACTTACTTAGAGTAAGTTTAAAAAAATGTTTGCATAAATCTGGTTAATGTGCAAGGTAATTGTTGATTCCTGACAAAAAACTGGTTTGAAAATAATTTGTCATTTGTTAGGGTGGAATATTTATTGCAGCCATTCTCATAAAAATTCACAGTATATGATCTTAATTTCTGTAAATTTGGAATAATAAGATGATTATATTTTTTATTGTTGCTGCAAAAATGCAATCCTTATTCCTTGGGATAAAGTCAACAATTGCTGAAAACTTTTGTTTACTCATTAAACAGAACTTGCACAAAATCTTGTTCATAATTTACTGATTATAATCTCTTTTTTATCTTTATTTTTATAACACAAAAAATCTAAATGTATTTTTTTCTTACAATAATAAATCCGTCACCATGGACAAGGGGCTGCACTCCACGAAAATAATTTGCTCCACGCTTGTGAACATGACAGGAAATAACTTTTGTGTGCAAATTCTTACTTGTCCCCCAAACGATGAAGCTCCTCACTCAAGAGTAAGACACTCTGGCAATTTGCCTTAATTGTAAATTTTGATCATTTAAAATCTTATTTTGTGATAACTGACATACAAAAATGCATTAAAATCTGGATTGAGGTTATCAAAGAATCAATTATGGAATCTCTGTAATTATTGAATCTAGGTACCACCAAAATTTGAGATAAAATACCTTTTTAACATTATTTTTCTGCATTTTTAAGTTAAAAGTTAAAAATGCATAAAATAATGTTTCCTTTTTTTTTTTTAGTAAAATTTTAGTTTTATTTGTAAGATAATGACCTAAAAAGTTAATTTATAAAGAAAAATAATTTTAATTTTACATATTTAATTTATATAAAGTTTATAAAACATTTTAAAACTTTATGGACAATTTATTTATCATCAATTCGTAGTTTTAATTGAAAAATGATGACAGAAAATTTATTTTAAGACATTTTAAAAATCTCTTAAAAAGCAAATATCTTTCCTTGTTAATGTTATGTTATTTGTTTCAAAGAAAATTATTAAAATTAAGGTGTAATTAAAAGAATTTTGAAAAATTCTTACTTTACAGTTGAGTAAAAAACAGAAACTAAGATAGCGAAAAACATATTTTCATCTTTTAGGTTAAAAAAAAAAGAAGCAGTTTAAACCACAACACATTTTAAAATCTCTCCTCAACTCAAAAGACCAAAATACAGAAAATGGTTTCGTTTTTTCCGTTTAAAAATATCATTTTTTTTTTTTTTAATTATGTATGTATGTGTGTGTATCTGCGTGTAACCCTGGGTTTCACGCTTTATTAAAGTTAGCTCTATCACTGATATTGAGTGCTTTCCAATAAGTACCGCACAATATATAGTTATTTTCCAAGCACTGCTTAGATGTGGCACAAGGCCGAAATTATGGGGCACCCAGTGAGGATCGAACTCACTACTCGGTCGTAATTGTTCTAGCGAGACAAGCTTGCTAACCATTAGACCGCCTCAGGGTGCCCTCCGCACAATATATAAAGAAATCACACACACACACACACACATATATATATATATATATATATATATATATATATATATATATATATATATATATATATATATATTTTTATGAACCTTAGTAGAATGAATACTTTTTATATTAATAATAATATAAAAAAAATTTTTAATTAATAAAGTGAAATGATATTTTCCATTGCATATTCATTTATTTATTTTACTATTTGATGCCATGAAATAATTGCACTAAATCAGATCTTTTTAAATGCTACTATGGAAAAAAAATGGTGAAAATTGATAAAGATTCATAGAATTGATGTTGTTAATTGATTGCCATCACTTGTTTTGTTTTTCAGCTATGAATGTCCTAAAAAAATCTAAATACATCCAAATGCATAATTATTTTCAATCTTATTAGTGAAGGTATTCAGAATTGTTTAATTATTTCCTATTTGATCTTTCATACAAAAAATAATTTAATATTGGCAAAAAAAAAAATCTCTTTAAAAAATATTTTACTCAAAAACAGTCATAAACATTACATTTTTCTATTCTTCAAACATATCTTTATTTAATAAAAAGATCTCTTTTGTCACCAGCAACAGTAATAATTTTAAAATCATGCTGAAAAATTAAAAATATTAATTTCAGATTTTTCCCTTGTTAAATCTGAAAGAAAAGAATCTATTTTATTATGCAAGTGTCAATTCTCTACAAGAAATATTTTTGTGTTATGATGAATTCTTTTTGTAAGGTTTCAGGACAAATTTTTCAGGTGTTCACATTTGATTTAAAGTAGAGGATGCTGTATATATAATGGGACTGGAAGAGGGTCCTCAATTATGAGATACTTCCAGAGTTTCAAATAATTGATTTGAAAAGTTACTTCTCCTAATTTGATCAACTGAAAGAAAGTGTCCAAAATTAGTCCACAGAAGAGGCATAATATTTCATCAGGATATAATTAGATCAAATGTTTCTTTTGGTGTCGAGGTAAAAATTGTTGTAGCTTATTTTGGTGTTACTCACCTGCTGTATTTATCAAATATTGAACATTTTGAGGTTACCAATTAGTCCCATCTTTTAGAGAATTCTCTTAAAACACAAAACAAAAATAAAAACAAAAAAATTAAGAAATTCAATTACCTGAAAAATTGCAAAAATCCCTTAGAGCATTTCTTTGCAGAGAAAGACAAAAAGTTCTGGGAGAATAGATCAATAAAGTTACCTGAAAGATACCAAAAGATAGTGGAACAAAATAATAAATATGTTGTTAGATAAAGTTAATGGCAAAAATACAATGTCTTATTTTTAATTAATAAACTAAATAGACTTTTTAAATTATCCAATAACATGCATCATGTAGGAGTTCACTGAATAAGCATACATTCAGTATTTAGTTTATGTAGTTGAATTGAAGTTAGGTAATAATGGCACAAGTAAAAATGAGACAAGTGGGGAAAATAGGAAAAATGGCACAAAGCAAAAACATACAGAAAAAAAATGAAATGCACACATCTATTCAGTAAATTCTGAAAAAAATATATATAAATATCGAACCAGTAACTCTCTAATCAGATGCCAGTTGACTCCTGGTTCAGTTGTCATTGGTTGTCAGTTGTGCAATTGCAAGAATTTTGGTTCAATTATTGA